TAGAGCCAGAGCTTATATCGATCTTGACTGCAATCACAAAAACATTATTATAGGTGCACCGGTCCAATCTTGGACTCTGACAAGCTGTGTTTTTGATCGACTTCTGAGATTGGTTTTATGTCTGCTTGTCTTTGTTCCTTAGCCTATGAGCTCCAAGAATGTTCAGACCCCGAGCCTTTTCACCATGGAGTGGTGGTGGGTGCTGGGTACAATGTAGGCCAGTCCATCTCCTTCGAGTGTTACCCAGGGTATCAGCTAATGGGTCAGTCCATTCTCACCTGCCAACATGGTACAACCCGTACCTGGGACCATCCCTTTCCTCGGTGTGAAGGTAGAGTCCATTCAGCTTTTAACAGTAATGTTCAGAAAAAAGTGTAAATACTCTGTGCTGTATTTGTCAGATTGGAGTAGGTTGTAGTTGCATTGTTTGAATAACATTATTTAACGGGAAAGAGAATTTTATTTTTTATAGCCCATTTACACAAATCCGGAAATTATTTTTATAGCCCATTTACACAAATCCAAGCCTTCAAAATTCTGCGAGTTGGAATCAAAGTAACACGTTACTGTAAGGCCTATTTATATACATATATTCATATTTAAACTACAGGATGTAAGATACTGGAATTTTGTCCTTTTTGGTATAAAAATGCAATTGCAAGCTACTTGTAGAAAAGATTTCATAATGCAGGTTGTGCTACACTCTTCCTTCAGTGCTTTCTCCACTGTTGTTCTACGTAGCATTGAGAGAATCACACAAACAAAACATGTGCATACAATAAATGCAAGACATTAGGCAGGGATTTATGTGTATCGTCAATAAGAGTAATGTTTGTGCACTACGATACAAAATCAGTTTTTTATAAAAACCGTGTCATAACCTTTTGTCAGCAAAAATCAGTTTTCTTAACTCAATACCAAAATAATCTAAAGAATCCTTATGCCAGTTGTTCTGCAAGTCTTTATACATTTTTATGCATATTTCTGTCAGTTGTCTTGAAGTGCCTGTGCAGGTTTCATGCAGCCATATGAACACTGATCTTAAGGAATGTGTTGTCATGGTTCTTATGAGTCTTTTAGTGCATCTAATTGCGTAGCTGTAAAGCAATGCTACCCAGGACTCCAGGGAATCCATAAATAATTAAATAAAACCCACTATATTTTGCTACAGTCACATCAGCAGATTTTTTGGACGAAACAGGAAGATGCTGCATGCACTGAGATACTGGTGCAGGACCTCAAGGCATGCTGGAATGACTGAGTGCTTACATAGCAAAAGCAAGTTTTCAAAGACCAGACGGATGCTTTTCCATGTCAACACTCAGTCAAGTGTACAGTCTGGCCATTTTCTGCCCTAGCGGGTAGTTTTTTGACACATTTTCCCAGTAGTATTATGCCAATACTGAACTCTTTTATTATTATTGTTTGTTATTTATTTAATTTATTCACCAGGCTTACAAATATATCTCTACACCCTTTTTTTCGTTTTAATAGATCTTAGTTTTTTAACCATCTCTATAGAGTATATTCAGCTGCAATAACAAACAGGATCCAAAGTATTTGTTAACACAGAGGGAAAAAAAAATGTTTGACTGACAACAATGTTAATCAGATTTTTTGAGTGTACATTAAGTGAGAAGCAGATGTATACTTATTAAGTTTCTGGTCATGCACATGTCTAACATGGCTTATAACTGTATGTTTTTGCCCCAATTTTGCTGTCACAGACAATCACACATCACAAGAGTATTCTTTACTCGTGAGGCTGCCTTATAACGTGCATAATGTGATGTGCTCAGCGACAGCAGATTTAGTACCATTGAAACCAAAGATAAGTTAGCTACAAGTTTTTGTAATGTCTGAAATTTTTAATTAAAATCTAAAATAATTGTTAAAAAAAAAAAAAGCCACCAATAGGAGGACAGCATAGGATAATGTGAAACTCATAGGAAAGTTACAAATACAATACAATGCAATGGAGAAATGTAAATGAAACGTTAATGTACAGAAAGAAAAAAAAAACCTGCATCGTGCTGATTGATGACATAAGCAGAACATGGTAATTATCTTTAATCGCGGGTCTATCATTAGACGTGTAATCTGACATGGAGAACACATTATTGCAGTATTTTATAGAATTCAGCCAAGATTTTATTGAGATCATCTCATTCAGAGTGACAAGTAATAATCTTAAAAGACAGTATAAAACTCACATTTAACTTTTGACATTCGGTACTGTATTCAAGAGATTATCGGTTTTGTGCATGACGGACTTGCGTCATCCATTGGACTGAGGTTCTGAAAGGAAGTTGGTGCTTGCTTTAGAACTTATGCAGTTTACGTACTTGCTTCATTATCAGTCCAAGACACCCCTTTTGTGTTCAAAATGAAACTGGAAAGAAGTAGTATAACACTCAACACATCTAAACTTTGATAATCTAAACTTTTTTCCCCACTATCCAGAAAAGGTTGCAGTATTTATCATTGGACAAATCAATAGCAATTGGTAGTCAGTTCGAGCATTATTGCACTTCACCCTTGGTCTTTGCATATTGATCAGAAGCATACTGAAAAAGCTTAGAGAGCACTTAAGAAGTAAGTGACATTTTTGATAGCTGCTAGTAGTCAATGTAAGCCATCACTTGTCCTTTCTCGGTCTCTCTCTCTCTCTCTCTCTCTCTCTGTTTCTCTGCCAGACGTAGATTGACGGACAGGCCCTCACATCGCCTTACACGCTCTCCATAAAAGATTAGATTCAGGACTTCGCTCTGTGTGTGCAGTCATGTACTACACTTCGTCTACATGCCTACATCCTCCTGTATGCCCTTCCTCTTCCTCTATTCTCTCCTCTTCCAATGACTCAGTCACCAAAGTTAGGAAGTTGGCTTCCTGTAACTCTGGCCTCTTCCCTCTTCCCTCTCCTCTACGCAGCCCTGAGCTCATCAATAGAATCACTGCACGTTCCTGCTCTGTAGCGTGATGTACTTTTGATCAATGTCCTGATCAATAGTTCATTTAGCAGGCGAGGCAAAGGGAGCGAGCATGCTGCATTAGGAATTAACAAAGAAATTAAAAGGAAGTCACAAAAGACATGGTGGTATTGAGGTAGAGGACACAGAGAAACCTAGTAAATTTTCGGGGTCCAGGTCTGCTTTCAGTGTGTGTGCTAATTCAGACTGGTTGTTTCCCTACATCTCCAGCATGACTGAGGTGTAGGATCAGGATTTAATTTCAGACAGGCCAGGAATATTCAAAAGCTGGAAATGGTTCTAAGTGTAGTGAGGCTTTAGGCAGAGTGATTTTTAAAGTGCAGTTGGAAATGGGGCATGGGAAGAGAGAAGGAACGAGCCCTGTCTCGGCCATGTTCTGTTGCCCAAAGGGTTTGTGTGTAAGTTGGTATCTATGTCACTCCACCTCTCGCTTGGTTCTCCTGTCCCCTGGATAAGGTTATTCTCTTATCTCGCTGGAACATTCCGACCCAGACCTCGCATGCTAACAGGCTTTTTTTTACTTAATCCTAGGCCACAGTGAGTCACATTAGGGGAAGAGTGGAAAAAAAAGAGAAGACTCCCATTTTTCTCTGATTCCCCTTGGAATTTGCTTTTGTGGAATTTCTTATTCATGGTGTCTTATTTATTTTATTTTTGCTTTTGCTTTGTAGTGCCTTGTGGAGGGAATATTGCATCAGACAATGGAACCATCTTTTCTCCTGGCTATCCGGAGGAGTACCCGAGCTCTGCAGACTGCACATGGTTAATCACGGTGGCCCCTGGCTTGGGCGTGCGCCTTAATTTCACCCTGCTGCAGGTTCATGGGCCACATGACTTCATCACTGTATGGTGAGCTAGCTGCTGGCTGATAGTGACTATAAAGCTAACAAACGGCAATTCTCTCAGACAGGTTCTATGCTTGCTTTAAAAGCCCTTTTTAATATGCTGGACACTGTCATAACACAGCTCTGATCTGTCGTGCCATGTCCATAAATGTCCTATCTGTCCTGCCTATTATTGCTGTAAACAATGACTGCATCATGTGGCATGCTCATCATCCACACCAATCAGTTAACATTGCACACTACAAATTTCTCCATAAGAATAAATTGGATTTGGAAGGCTGGTAATGGATTTTTGTGTATCACATTTGTTTCCATAGCTGCTTCCAGTGCTACAATTTCCATGCCCTTTTTTCTTTCCTTTGTACTTTAATGGCTTGCTGGACAAGTGAGCAGCCAGTTCAGGGGATAATTCATCACCCTCCTAGCTTCTCTGTGTTGTGTAAAGTACAGGGTAACCAAGGACATCTGTCTCTGTGTCACTATCACATGTCTAACCTCTCAGCTTCTCTGGGACAGGTTATTAGTGCGGGTCTTACATATATCTATATGTCTAGTGTTAAATTAACAAAGTTATTCAAGATCTCTCAGACGAGTTCCATCAACGCAGCCTTTAATCAGCTTTAGTTAGTCCAGGAAAGTTGAACAAAACCCTGCAGTCTTAAGGCACACCAGTATACCATCCAAAATCATCTACCCTCCATTGTACTGCAGTGTTGCTGAATTCTCAAACCTGTTGGTCAGGTGGTGTTGATTTTTCTGTGAAATCTGCTCTGACATTAGTTCTGGCATGTAGTTCACATTAGAGCTTGTTCTAACGTTTGTACAGTAACACCTCATTCACAATCCACAGTCCACAAAATCTAAACCTAATAATAAACAGACTAAAATGTCATTTTTCATGTCATTATTTAACAAAGATAAGTCATGCATTTAAGCAATATCGCACAAGCTAGAGTGCGGTTATACTCAGTATTAGTGTTTTAGGCTGCTTCCGCTTTTGGCTGCTCCTGTTAGGGGTCACCACAGCGGATCATTGGTCCACATATTTGATTTGGCACAGTTTTTACACTGGATGCCCTTCCTGACAGCCCTCCCCAACTTTATCCGGGCTTGGGATCGGCACTGGGAGAGCACCGTTATGTTCAGCCCCAGTGGCTGGGGTTGGTTCCCTGGCCGGGAATCAAACCCAGGCCGCGGCGGTGAGAGCACCGTGGCCTAACCGCTAGTCCTAGTGAGTAAGTGATATTTTGGATACAATATGGCCAAATGTTCTGTTCTGTTCTGTTAGCAGTTGTGGCCTAATGGTTAGAGAGTTGGACTTATAACCTGAAGGTGAACCTGAAGATCGGGGGTTCGAGTCTCAGGTCTGGCAGGGATTGTAGGTGGGGGGAGTGAATGACAAACGCCCCAGTGCTGTAATACTAAATATAAGCTTAACCAGTCAAATTAGTGGAAATAAATAAAATAAAACACTTTGGAGCATGCTGTCATTGAAAAGTGCATCAGGGTGGTAATCATACCATGCTGTCATTGATCATTTTCCTATAACAGCAAGGGGCAATATCTGTTTGTATGTATATGAGCAGAGGAAGCATTGGCCCTCATTTGATTAAACTTGCTTTTCCAAAGTACATTACCAATGTACTGCCTTTGTAGTACCTCAGTGCAGTACAGCGTTTAATCATGTTTACACAAAACTAAGGTGTGATGTAATTAAATGTCCCTTTCTCAGTGTTGAAAGTGTTTGTGAAGACAGCCAGGGAAAAGCTCCATCCTGGCAGCATGAATACTACAGCCACCCAGCACTCCTCCAGCCAGACAGGCTCTTCTGAATGCACAGTAGAGAGTGTAATCTCTAGCGCACACTCAGAGAGACACCAACAGACGGTTTTTAAACTGACTGACTGTAGTCGAAATTGGGATCGGGAAATGGCCAAATTGCCCCAGCTGCATGGAGAGATGGAAAAGATAGGTGTAAGTTTCTAAAGTAATTCAGCGCTCAGTTCTAGCCAGCAGGAGCCAGGATTGAGAATTTGGAGGGTATAGAGCATACTCCCTCAACGTGGAGGCTGTAATATGCAGAGGAATCCGTGAGGCTGGATTCCAACTCAATTTATAAAAATGCTATATGTCAGATCAGATAGAATTGAGCAGTGTGAGTAGGAATTTAGGAGAATTTAGGAAAATCCATTTGTTTAGGGGAAACTGAATTGTGTCTCTTCGTTCTCTGCAGGGATGGACCACAGGAGAATGCACGAAAGCTTGGTGTGTTTACGGACGGTGAGCCTAATGACCCACCCAGCAGCACATCCAATCAGATCCTCATACGGTTCCGCAGCAACTCAGAAAAAGGTGGACTTTTCAAGATCAACTACCAAGGTATTTCTGCCTTCCTACCCTCATTCATGTTAAAGCAGATGGTTTCTTCAGTTTATTTACACTGCAGCCTTCTCTCACTCTCTCTTATTCCAGCCTATAGACTCGAGTTTTGCTTACCCCCTCCCATCATCCCCAATGCAGAAATCCTGATGGCTAGCAAAGAGTTCAAAATAGGTATGTGCCCCATCACTGTCTCATCCAGACCATAATATTAAAGGTGCCAGGCTTGAGCATGTGTGGTGTACAAGTGTGTGGCCTTTGCCAATGTATGCAGAACATTTTGAACATAGAAGCAGGCTGCCAGTTCATTTTCAGGCTTGAGCGCCTCTCATTAATAATGTTCCCAGAATAGCAGAGGCAGACACACACACACACACACACACACACACACACACACACACACACACACACACACACACCTCCCTCAGCACTAACACACTCCCTCCTCCAGAACTCACTTTGAGGAGGGAAAGCTGCTTCACCGCCAACACAACAAATCCCAGAGGGCTGTGCTGATATGCTGATTCATTGCCAGAGCTGGCAAATTGGTTCATACAGAATTCAAGACAGGAGATCTCATTGTGTTGCTTAAAGCAGCATGATTATCCTATATTTCTTCATTTCTTTTTTCTATACTGTGATTCTAGTAATCAGGCTGATTTTGATTATCCCAGTTGCACAAAATACACTTATTTTGCAAAATGGAGCATTATATATAGATGGTTCATTAGATGACACAATCATTTATGCTGAGAGAATAACTGTTTCCTGGGAGTTTGTTGATTACAGGCATTGTGTTTATTGCTTATTTTCTCAAAATTGACTTTCTCAATGGTTCACAGGTGTTTCTGCTAGACTTAGAGTTTCTTAAGTGAAAGTGTATCCATTACACTATGCAAAAGATTCCATGAAATAACATATTGATAAACTGTGTTGTGTGCATTATAATAAATAAATAAAATGAATTAACCAATAAATAAAAACAAGACAAAAATAAATCTCAACTTCGTTTGTGAAAAAATGTCTGTTTTTTCATATGAAAATGATTCATTCGTTCATCTTTCACTATCCTCTTTATCCTGGTCAGGATCACGGTGAATCTGAAGGGCATGGCACATAAACACCCTGAATGGGAGCTATTCCATCACAGGGCACCATGCACACACACAATCACATGCTCATGCACACCTAGGGGAAATGTAATGTAGCCAATCCACCTTCTGGCATGTTTTTGGGAGGAAACAACAGAGACACAGGGAGAAAATGTGAATCTTAGCATAGGCATTAACCCGAGCTCAGGACTGAGCCAGGGACTCTGGTGCTGTGAGGCAACCATGCTACCCACGTGCCGACCAATATGCAAAGTAACACACGTAATGACAAACTTTAAGGTTTTTTTTATGCAAAAATATTCATGTCAACAAACTAATTTTATTCTGAGTAAATAAAAAAATAAGCCTATAAGAGTGGTACCAGGTCTTGACTTTATCACTGCTCTCCCTGCTCTGAAACGAACAGCTCCTATAAGTGACTCGCTTTGCGCCGATGCAAATTTATCACGTTGCAAATTCATCATGTAATCAGGACTCCGTAGAGGTTTAAACAGCATTCTATCTCTGGCATTAACTCACACTGATTCTCTGCTGTTTTGATCATTGATTATGCACTACATTAGCTTAATTCACTGCTTTAGCAAAGGCTGTTGTCTTAGTAGTAAACACACACACACATATACACACACACATTTATCCTCTGTTAGCTAGTTCAGTTCCTGAATTAACTGCTAAATGCTGCTAAATCCATACAATTTGTTTATGCATCACGTTGACTGTCCTTGTGTATGGTTTTCTCTTTCTGCTCGGTCACTGTTACTAAATTCATGCATCCTCTTTCTGCAGTCTCAGGTAGAGGTTAGAATGAAAAGTGTGCTGTGCTGTTTCCCTAATTACACTGCAGCACAGGCATGTCAAGTCTCCCTTTGTCTCTTTATCCCTCCCAGTATCCTTACTGTCATTATATCAGACAATGAAAGGAAGTGCATTTCATCAAGCCTTGGGCAAGACAGAAATTACCGGCCATTGCTGCTGTTGATCTGTGGAGCCTGATCTATTTGTGGAGCTGATTAAGTGTGCCAGGCCTACATTGAGATGGATAGGAACATCAGAATTCCAATGCCATTTTCCATTTTTTTGACTGTCTACAGGTGATATAGTGCGCTACAGATGTTTACCAGGGTACCACCTCAACGGGAACAGCATCTTGACCTGCCGTCTGGGCACACACCTGGAGTTTGAAGGACCTCCACCTTCCTGTGATGGTAAGGTTTGGTGTTATATTAAGAACATTTTACAGTGTTTGTCTAGTCTTTCTGAGTAGTGTTTGATTTTCATTGGCTACAAAAACACCTCAGTGGTTTTCAGGAAGTATTTAGAGAGTGCGGACACGTTGCTATCTTTTAATAGTCTGACCTGCCCAGTCATGTGACCTTAGTCCAGTTGAGCTGCATGGCAGGGCATTTATGAGAAATCTTCAGAAAATCTGTCCGAATTGAATGTGTGCAGCAGTTATACTTGCTAAGGAGGTCCTTCAAATCATAATTTTATAGCATATTATTATTAATATTAATATTATGTTCTGCATTTGAACCATGATTGTGAGCTAGTCTTTAATGATTTTAAAGGACTTATTTGCCTATTATTGCATGTAGTCTGAGCCTGGCTTGTATTTCATAATTTATATTTAAAGAAGAGAAGAAATACTATTTTCAGCATTAACTAGCCAAATCTGAACACTCCACTATGCCTGAGGTCTCTTCATTCTTACCAATTTCATTTGGCCTCAAATTACCTAGTCATTATGCTCTTTTCATTATACCCTTTTCTCCTCTCTCAGTGGAGGAGCATCAGCCTCAGCACTGGTTGAACATGTGACTCGGTGGTTGATGAGAGGATAAATGATGTGCTCACTGTGGAGCTATCATTCAGATGCCAATTTAGACCGCTTCTGCACAGCAGTTCGGCATCTCAGTAGAATAAGTCCTGCTTAATTGAACTAAAATGACTTTTTTTCATGTGTAAGAGTACTTACATTCAGTCCCATGATCATACACACTCAGTGAAATGAGTAGTTCAGCATTTAAAACTCCACACTCATTTTCCTACTTGGTCTTCTGTCAGCTGACTTTGGTTGTTCACAGCACACCAAATAAACTTGAATTATTTATAAGAAGTGCTCATGAATAATTCAAACTAATTAATGATGAATTGCTGTGAAGTCCTTTTTTTTTTTTTTTTTTTTTTTTAAAGTATGGATCACCGTATGTGATTCAGCATCAGTTGATTCCTATAAGATGAACTACTAATCTGCTTTTTATAGATTTATAAATCGTTCTTAGCATTCTAGGTGCACTTTTTTTTTGCCAGATAAATTATGAAGCAGTTGTACTTTTGTGACAAGAAAAAAAAAAAAGTAAAATAAATACACACACACACACACACACACACACACACAAATGAAAATGCAGCTAATTAATGCTATGTTCTGCCTAAATCTAACCCTAACCTTAACCCGCATAATTCAAAGGAAAAAATGTCTCTTTTTTTTATTTAAAAAAAAATCCCCAAACTGTCAAATGTTACCCGAACACACACACACACTGGATTTACTATCTTTGTGAGATATTTCTAATGATTTCTGTATTATTGTAGTGTACATAAGTAGTCATTTTTATATAAATGTGAGTTCAGATTAACTCTCTAGTCCTCACTTATTCCAATCATTATGTGGAGAGTTCATCTTGGGGGGGGGGAAAAAAACCTGCCAACACAAACATGCACACACAAACACACACACACAA